CACACGCCTATTGCACAACGGCAGAAATATGCCTTTACCAAAAAAAGAAAAAACGGGAGAAATATGCATTAATAAGGAAGTTGAGTGTTTGATATTATTTCCTTTTAAAACTGATGTACGTATGAAAAATTGTGGACAAGTTTGGTATGGTAGCAGTGGTGGTAGTGGTTATAGTGGTGGTGGTGTAAGGTTGGTAGTTTCATCGGCAAAATTATGGTGACAAAGATGGTGATGGTGGTGGTGGTGATGGTGATGGTGATGGCAACAATAGTGGTGGTGGCATGATGGTGGTGTTGGTGATTGGGGCTGTAGAGGTAACAATGGTGGTAGCAATGTGGCAGCGATTTTGGTGGTGGTGGTGGTGCTAACAACGATCATGGTGGTGATGGCAGTAGTCGTGTAAAGATGCTGGTAGTGGTTACTTTGTTCCTGTTTGGACCCAAAACGTTATTTTGGGCCGAGCTCAGAAAAATCCTTGGCCCAAAGGTGTTTGTTTAGAATCTTATCATAGGTCGGCGCTGTCAAGGTTGGCCGAATCCTGTTACGAAGAGGATTATTTCGGATAAAGGTGAAGTAGTCGAGACCTAGTATGATAAGGAGTCCTAGGGATGCTGGGACTTGGGAGATGAATTTGGCTCGTTTAAAAGGTGGGTTCAAAGTCCCAGTTGAATTAGGAATGGCCGAGTCCTAGTTAGATTAGGTTAAGGAGTCCTAATCCGAGTGTGGTTCTAGCTCGGCCATGAGAGAGTTTATTGCTATAAATAGAGAAGGGTGTGCATCATTCAACCCTATCCAATTCAACACACAAACTGCCAAACGCAAACTCTCGCTCTACGCGAAACCTCTCAACAACCTTGTGATTTTTTTTTTCTTGCCGACACATCTTTAGTTTGTATAAACAACTCTGTGAAGGCAACTGGTGGCATCTTCAGTTGGATTAACAACACTATTGTCGTAGAATCAGCCGACCGCGGAGTACCTTCAGTTTGGATAAACAGCACTGGGTCGATGCTGACTGGTTATCTATCCAAGTCTCGGTCAAGAAGGATTTTCGAGTCCTTATTGGCATAGGTCATCTCACTAGCCTTCTCGGCGAAGTGAGGTGTTACAGATTACTGGGCTTCGCGCATTCAATGCTGAGTTGTTTTATGATTGGATATTCACAAGTAAGTTTTAGAGTTCAACATTCGGACGCTCGGAACACATTTACCATCAAGACATACATCTCTTTTGAGTACTTATATTCGTATAGTTTGGAGCCAATTCGGCATGCTTATACTCTTACGAATATAATCACTGTTACCGAACCCGGTGCCGATAATCTATGAACTTCGCAAGACGAGCAGCCTTGTCTTTAGGCTTTAGAACCTGAAGGCCGAGACGTGTTCCTTCCTCAGCCATAGTCACGAGATCAAGAAGTTAGCAGCGCGCTTAACGCAACATCAACACATTTTACTCTCCAGTCGAGCTCGGCCGACAAGTTAGCACACCCCACACACAATCGAATGATGTAGTTAGCTTATTAATTACTCAGCCTACTTACCACGTAGGCTTGGTAGTTTTTAGGATCAACAGTTCCTCAAGAGAAAAAATGTGTGTACAAAGATAATAATGTCATTTTAAAAATCTAATAAAGAGATTATAGGAATTAAAAATATTTATTATAAGATTAGCTCTGCTTTTATGAAACGAAGTTCAAAAGAAACCTCTGTTGATGAAAATTTTGTACGCAGTTGAATTGCCGAATTTCTACCTACAAGAGAACAAATGTTGTTAGCCTAATTAACGAACACCAGAAGAAGGGGGAGGGTGTCCACCATGTCTGAGTTAGAAAAGTAGTTTGAGAGAAGATAAGAACTTGAGAGAGTTCTGAGAAGTAAGTGTCGATTATCGATTTTTTGTCTGACTTGCCTATTTATAGACTTGAACCCTAACAAGCAGTTGTGAGGGGAAGTTGCAGGCCATACTTGGTAGATCTTAATGTTCTGCTAGTGATTGGTGCATACTAGTCCCCACAGTCCTGCCAACTAGTAAGCATGAAGGTCTTCGTTGGTAAGAGCGTAGACGAGTCGAACACCCAAGGGTAGACTTCGAAGAGTCGGCTTTCCGCCACCATTTGACCGAGTATAGCCTGGTGCCAAGTGATATCATGGGCTTGAAGCACTTTTGATATATGGTCGTCCAAAGGCCTAATACTTACAGGAGTCAGGACATACATATGTTACAGTCCTTCATAAAAGGCAAGTAAATGCCATGTTCCCTGAAGTGGTTTGTGGTTTTGTTGACCTTAACAACTACCAAGGCTGCTAGTCTCGTGAGGTTTGTGGTTTCGTCGGCGTCGGGTTCGGTCACGGTGATTATATTCGTAAGAGTATAAGCACGCCGAATTGGCTCCAAAGTATACGGACACAAGTACTCAAAAGAAATATACGTCTTGATGATGAATGTGATTTGGCCGTCAGAATGCCGAACTCTAAAACTTACTTGTGAATATCCAATCATAAAACAACTTGGCATTCAATGCATCGAACCCAGTAATCTGTAACACCCTACTTCGCTGAGAAGGCTAATGAGATGACATATGCCAATAAGGATTCAAAAATTCTTCTCGACCAAGACTTGGATAGATAATCACTCAGCCTCGACGTAGTGCTGTTTATCTAAACTGAAGGTGCTCCGCGGTCGGCTGATTCTACGGCAACAGTGCTGTTTATCCAAACTGAAGGTGTTCGCTGGTTGACTTCACAGTGTTGTTTATCCAAAGTGAAGATGTGTCAGTGAAAAAGAAAATAAAAATCTCAAGGTTGTTGAGAGGTTTCGCGTAGAGCGAGAGTTTGCGCAGGGCAATTTTTGTGTTGTGTTGGGGAGGGTTTTGAAATGTTGCACAGTGTCTTGTATTTATAGGGACGAGTACACGCTGGTTGATAAGCTGATAAAGACTCCCAAACTATTAAAACTCTTCCACTGACTTGAGCCTCAGATAAGCCTTACTACTCCCAAGACTCTGAACTTATTCAAAAATGCAACCAAATTCGATCCTTGTGTTTAGTCTTATCACATTGAATCCTAAGATAATCTGCATGCTTGGATTTGAACAAATAACCTTCATCTAAACAGCCACCAATTATATATATATATATATATATATATATATATAGTTGCTAGCCTTTCACACGGCATGCAGGCCAAGTCCATCATCAATTCAATTCATCTGACAACATCCATAAATAACCTACCCTACTTAGGTCTCCTATCTCACCATTATCCAAGCCTTGCAAATCCCATGCTATGCTACGTGATAAAAATCCAAGCCGAGTTGCTCCAATCCACATGGAACACTGCTAACAAATCCAAATTAAATCGGATTGTTCTGCCCGTCTCTACGTTGGGGCTATGATTTTTATCCCATTTATTTTGTACAAGAAAATCAAGATAATTTATTGAAAGATAATTATTATGATTAAAAATAATAATATTATCTCTTAACAATAGCAAATTATCTTAAATTTCTTATTCGACGGTTAAGAACCATGCTCACTCAACGGCCTCGATTACTCGGGCCGATGGTGTAAAATCGGGTCCAAACAGGTTTACTCATGACGTCAAGGATAAAATTGTCATAGCGAGCATATTGTCCACGTGTCATTCTTCTATTGGATTTGGTTAATTTATGGTTCAACAAATGCCCCAACATTTGCTTTTGTTTAATTAGGAAACAAAACAGAGATGTACTTCCTAATTGCATAGGAATTTTCTTTTAAGAAAAGGTAGGTTTTAAAGTCTTAGTAGTAAAATGTTTCCTTTTTCTCTCCCACAAGAACTTAATATGAATAGGAAATAACCTTGTCTGAATACCTAAAAAAGTTCAGGGTTTGTGTAGAGCATTAAAAAAGAAAAATTCCAGGTATGAAAATTTTTCCTTATTCTTCTTCTTTCCATGTATAATGGGGCAGCAGGAGAGGCCCTCTATCTCTTATTCATCTGGCAGCAGCACGCGAGGTAATGTTGGGCTGCTCAAAGAGCAGTAGCAGGTACTGCTCGACTGGGTTGGAACATGGTTACGCATGCGGGCCTGGTCTGATGATGCCTGCGGTTAAGGGCTGAAACACGTGGGAGAGTTGGCTAGCATGGCGTGCCAGCTGGCGAGGAAGCAAGGTCACTACTTAGAGCGAGTCGTGGGTTCGGCTGGTCGATTCGGGTTGGTTTGGCAACAAGTTTCTTTTCTTTTTTATATTTTTTATATTTTTAAATTTTCGTCATTTTTCCTATTTCAATCTAACACCAATCCATCTCCAGCATTGCTATCAACAGAAGCAATATTGGATTAAACTAGGGTCTTGTGGGCATCTTATGACTCCATTAGGGCTTGCGTTGTCTTCTTCTATATTCCCCTAAGCTATAGGCCCACGCCTCATAAAATGATAGATCAGACTGGACCTGTGCCCAATCCTTCCTTAGATGCTATTAGACTTGCGCCCATTCCTCCCTCAACAACTCCATTGACTACAACCTCCACTCATCCTATGCTCATGTGGCTTTGTGACGACATTATCCAACCAAAAAGCTGTACTGATTAGGGGTGGGCACGGGTCGGGCCGGGCCAAATTTTGAAAGGACATGATCGGATCGGGATTTAAAAGAGACGGGTCAGGCCTGGTTGGAGATAACATTTTCTAATATAGGAACCAGACCTTTCCCGGCCTGGTTAAAATTGGTTGGTTCGGGCAGGCTCCACGGGTACATTGGTTTTTCTTTCTTTCTTTTTCTTTCTTTTTTGTGGAAAAGAAAAAAAAAATAAACGGAATACGTTTAGATATTCAGTTATGCCTTGTAAACGGAATGCGTTCAAATAAAATTTGCATTGAAAGGGTGTGTGATCTCTAAATTTTTGCAAAAAAATCTCAGAAGATGAATCATTTATTTCTTTAGTGTTTGGAAATTCCTTAAAATTCAATTCAAACATGGCTTTCAATTGGAAAAACTACGCAGAAACAAGTGGGAGAGGAGTATCCGATAGATCCCTTTTATTTCGTTGAATATCACATAAGTACTGGAACAACTAGAAGTCTAGAATAAGTGTAAAGATTGAAGAACCCCAATGGCAATGCACTAACTTGAAATTCAGATCACATTCAAATCAACACGAAAATGCACCATATGCAAACCAAAGTTAACTTGATTTATGTTGAGAGAACAATAATTAGATACCATTTGTTGTAGGTGAACCTGCCGCTGGTCATTTTCTCTGCTAAGATCTTTCCACTGAGCTTCAAATTTCAATAGGGCCCTGCCCTACTCGAAGAAGGACTTCTCAAGGTGGTACCTCAATTCTTGAAATTTTGATGCAATTTTGCTATTTAACAGCATACAAAATGAACAAAAATAAATCTAGTAAGCTACTACAGGCCAATCAAATTGTAACAAAAAGAAGTGAAATTTAAAACATGTAGCCATTATCAAAGGCAAATGGAATCATGGGTATTTGATAAAAAAACTCAAAACTCACCAATTGCATTATCTAATTCCTCTGAGCAGTTGGCTATTTCAGAGCTCCAGCACAAAAACCCACTTGGGTTTTGTTTTATATTTCATATTTTTCCATTTTTGGGGTGAGAAGAGAGCTGGGTTTTGTGAGAGAAGAAAATCACGGAAACAACCTTCACAACAGAAAGCTAAAAGATAGAAAATTGATGGGAATCAGAAAAAGCCATCACAACAAAAACAGCCTTCATAGGCAAAACATATCAAACACTTGATGCGCAACTCGGAAAAATCCATCACAACGAAAAGCTAAAAGATAGAAAATTGATGGGAATCGAAGGTTACCGAAGGAATTAGGGCTGTTGAGAAATGATAGAGGAGGTGGAGGCAGCGTAGGGGTCGGTTCTTAAGGGTTGTTAAGCTCTAAAGATGGTGGTGGAGGTGGAGCCGGTGACTCGGAGTCTCAGTCCGACGATAATGATGTCGTCGATGAGGAAAAAAAGAGAATCGAGAAGATCCTGCATACCCACATGTGGATCAGGAAAATCCGCCAAAACGGTTCGCTACCCATTTGGATTCTCACCCAGCTGCCAAATCCCATTGAATTGACGGAGAATGACGAAGGGGGGGATGACGCACGCTTGACGGCGAGTGGTAGACTCTCCAATGACATAATCAAGGGCTTGAGACATGAGAGATTAAGAACCTAGGGTAAAACTAAAACTAACGATTCAGATTAGAGATGGTAGCTTACTCATTAATTTGGTCCGTCCATTTCAATTACAAACGGGCCGGTCTGAGTACCCGTGGTTCCTATACTTCAGGAATCGGCCCGAACTGAAAATTTCAAAGGCCCGCCCCGTTTCTCTTTTTTAAAATTAGGAACCGACCTGTACCCACCCCGACCTGCGGTTCATGTACCCGTTTGCCCACCCCTAGTATTGATGGCCATGTGTGGTATCATTTTCTGCATGCTTTTTTAGCTTATCTTGAAATTAACAAAGTACAAGCTTTTTACAGGCCTCTAAACATCATCATTAACGCCTAGCCATGATGGAGGATGCTCTATTGCATAATGACACATGGTCTCTTGTCCATTTTCATCCAGTCAGAACACTGTTAGATGCAAAAGGGTCTTGCATATGAAGCGTAACCCTAATGACTTTGTTGAAAGATGTAAAGCTCGTCTTATGGCTGAGAGATTTCATCAGTAACTAGGTATGTCAAGATATTTAGCCATGTTGTTAAACATACCACTATTTGCATGTTCTTAGTCTGGTTGTTTCTCGAGATTGGCTTTTCTTCCAACTGAATGTCAAAAATGAATTTCTTCATGGCTTTCTTCAGGAAGATGTCTACATGGCTCATCCCTGTGGCTTTGTTGACCATACTCGTCCTCACCATTTTGGTCACCTTCATAAATCTCTCTATGGTCTCAAACAAGTTCCTCGTGTTTTGTTCAACTAGTACTGTTGCCTCATCTCTTGTTATGTTTATGCACCTCACTCACACTATCTTTTTGCTTCTTTATGTGGAGGGTATTGTTGTCACTGGTAGCTCTTCCAATCTGGTTACCCAATTTGTTGATCTACTTGGTAAGTAGTTTGACATTAAGGATTTAAGGTCATGTCAATTACTTTTTTGAGCTTACAGGTTAATCATGACATCACTGGCCTACATATTCACCAACTTAGATATGCTCATGATCTGCTTATGAAATTTGATACGATTTCCTATAAGCCAACCTTGACCCCTCTTGCTGCCAAGGTTACTCTCACTGATACCGATAGTTCTTTACTTGTGTCTCCCACATCTTTCTGTGAGTTAGTTAGCTATTTGCAGTATCTTATTCTCACTCATCCTGATATCTCTTTTGTTGTTAAAATTGTTGCTCAATACATAAGTTCTCTTATACTACTCACTTGGTAGCTGCTAAGATGATCCTCTATAAGGTACTTTAGATTTTGGTATACATCTGCTACTTTATTTGCTTATTAGGATGATGATTGGGCTGGTTGTCTAGGAACTATTTGGGTTCCAATCTTATCTGGTGCTCCAAAAAGTAGCCTACTGTCTCTCGCTCAAATGTTGAGTCTGAATATCGTTCACTTGCTTATGCGTGTGTTGAAACCACTTGTATTTGCTTTCTTCTTGGTGGGCTTGGGTTGGATTGCTTTCTTTGATTTTATTGCATTGTGATATTTTGAGTGCCGTTTATCTTGCTGCTAATCCGGTCTATCATGCTTGCACACGTTAAATTGAACTAGATTATCACTTTGTTCGTGAAAAAGCTACTCTTGGTAGTCATCATGTTTGTTATATTCCCTTTGCTGATCAACCAGCCGATATTCTGACTAGCCCGTCATTAGCCTCGTCATGGATTCCTCCTTAATTAATCTAGGATCCTCTCCGTGACTATAACATGTATCATGTAATTAATGTAGGATTTCTATATATCTAAGAATTAATATATCCTTATATATGTTGTAGTATTTTCCACATATTAATATGAACACCTCGTTACCGTTATTAGCACCTCATGATGAATGTGTTTCGTGTGGCCTTTTTGTACTAACAGATTATATGAAACAAGCGCTTCCTCTTCTGTATGTAGCCACTACTAACTACGCATTATGTTCCGATATATTGTCTTCAACTTAATCAATCATTTTCAGTATCCTAGATGGAGGATAAAATATCCAATGGACTTCATAGTTTGTGATTTTTTATTTTTTTTAAATGCATTGGTACAATTAGTCGTGAAAGACCAGTGGTATTTTTGTTTTGATGTTTGACTTACACATAACAGTCCTTTTGACTTGTATGCATGCATCCAAACTACATCAACAGAGGAACATGAAAAAAGCTGAGCAACTACCCTGAAACACAGTCATCATACTTGCGAGTCATTACCAACAAATTGACATCTTGATGGTCATCTGCATCATGTGCCCCATTTTGTGCGTGTACATATATATATAGTGCCCCTTTGTCGAGGGACATTTTAAATAATTTTATTTGAGGGAAGCATTGTGGTGCTTATTCAAATTTTTTTAACGATCCAAACTATTAATATTAATTTATTACATCATTCATATTTTTGTAAATACTTAAACAAATTCAAAATCATTAAGACATTCAATAAAGAAATTAGACATAAAATTAATAGCTATTGTAATCAAGGGCACTGTTTTTCACATGACTATTTTTTAAAACAATTAAGCTTCTGACATAAAATCAAGGCTACTATTCTTCAAGTATATTCCTATTGTAGTTAAAAAAGGGTAGTGTTATTTACAATTGTTTTTACCTCTCACACATCCTTGTTAATTTTTGTCAATGATATTCTCAGTTCATTTAATTCGACAGTTGAAAATTAAAACAGGTATGTGAGTAGTAAAAATAAGTGTGTGAATAGCACCACCCTTAAAAAATAGTCTAACCTAGTTCTTTTCGCATTTTTCAAGGTGTGGACCAAATATGATCGGTTGGATCAAATCTAAAACAGCAGAAAACAAATCAATCAAAACAAGCTTAGGGTGAAATCGGGTCACAAATGACCCGTTATTAAATCAAAGATGGTGCCCAACAATAGTTAATTTTTTTTTTCAACTTAAACACTTGGACAACAAATTATATTCATCCGAACTAATGGAACTTGTCTGAACAAAATAAAAATATATACACCACCACATATTCACAATATAATACTTGTTTTATCGACTACCATTGTTCTTCACCAGTCATTCTACACTAAACAGATTACTTGGACAACCAGTGAATCATCCAACGCTCCCTAGACATTGTGCACCCTAAGCAACATGTTGATTGCCATCCTCATTCGGAATGCAAGGAAGTTATTCAGATTAATAATATCGAGAGGAAGGCTAGCATACAAGAACTCTATCACTTTTAAAGTGAAAATCCCATAGTCCCCCTTGTGCCACCAACAAGTTTCAGAAACAATTCACACACAATTCAATCACTTAACTTAACTGACTAACAATCCAATAAATTTTGAACTCACCCGTTGTTTTGCTGTGGAGCCCATCGACTTACAACGATGAACCAAGGTCCCTCCTTCACCTCCCTAAACATGCTTCAGAGGACATTGGGCAACACAAGAGATTGAAGCCAATTTCATCGTCGTTTTTCGGGTGTGGGTTGTTGATCTCAAGGAGTCGTACACAATGATTCTCGAAGCATTGAAGTTCATCTTGACAGCAACCCAATGGTGATGGAGGTTGAGGGGCATGTAAACCCTCTCAACGTCGACCAACCATGATGTAGAAAATGGCTCCCTCTCCCCTTTCACCATTTTCAAAAGAACATGTAAGAATGGAGTGGACAATTCGGGTTTCCGGCCTTGGATTGCCCTTTGAGCAGTCCTCGCAATGTGGTCACGCTCACAGTACAACACTAATATCTTTTGAAAAATCCCCATATTGCATTGAATCACAAATTTCGAAAGTGGGATTTTACTTCATGATCATGATTCATAAGTTCAGTGCCATGTGTATTTGTTTTATCTTTGGCATCGAATCCCTTCAGAAACAAGCATGCATTGTTAAGGCATAAGTTAGCCATAGGGTATTTAACCATCTCCCTCTGAATACTTGTTTTAAATAGTGCTTATTTTAGGAACTTGAGAACTTGAAGAAATGTGTGCAAGACATGGAACTTTGGATGTTTACTTGAATTTATGATCTTAGTTGTAATGTTTATTTTAAGTTGAATATTTCTTTAAAGTTTGGAATTTGGAATGTTTATTTTAGGTGTGGAAGACTTGAACTTTGATGTTTATCTTAAGTTTGGACTTTTGGAAGATTTGAACTTTGATGTTTGTTTAAAGCTTTGGACTTTTGATGATGTTTATTTAAAGCTTTGGACTTTGGAATACTTGATTGTAATTGAACTTTGAATGTTTATTTTCATTGTCTATTATTCTATTAGATATTTGAAATGCTTATTATATCGATTATGTTGGAATTGAACTTTGAATAGACAAAAAAAAAAAAAAAAAAAAAAACCGAATCGAACCGGGCTGAAATCGAATCGGAAACAACCTGACTAAACACAAACCGACAGAAAATCAAACCGAATCAAACTGAATAGTAATTTCGGTTGGGTTTTTGATTTTGGCAAAACACCGAACCCACACCTACTCTTGAACTCTACCTTCATGCCCTAACTTCTTTGACCTCACTCGTGTTGTAAGGTCAAAATACTTCTTTTGTGTGTCCTGGTTAAAGTTGATGTCAGCAGATGCTTCCAAACAACTTTGAGTAGAGTCGTTCAATAAGAAGTTTCTACAACACTGTTAATATTTAATACTACATCCGCGCTGATTGAGAAACAACTACCCATGCTCACATATCACTGTGGCCGGGCCACACAGCGCATCACTTCCGGGAGACGACCTACCTTTAGTGCAATTTTGTTTATGATTCATTATCATATAGATTTGAAGTGAAAATGGAGTGCCAGTTGTTGATTACCTGAACAGAAAAGAAAAACAAAATATAGTAGCCTAAGAGCATCTCTACATAGATGTCAAATGTAAAACATAAAAATAATATTTGACAGTTTATGTGGCAATTTGATATTTTGTACAATTTTTTCTCCTCCCGAAAATTTAAATGAGAATTTCATTCTATAATTGTTTTATCTCTTTGTTGGGTCCAATTATTTAGACCACCAATCAAGTACTTGGAATATAGAACACCATTTATTATGAATTGCATTACCGCTAATAAAATAGGGTAATGCTAGGTAGACATTTTTTAGACCAAATTTATAAATCATGTGATGTCTTATCAATAGAAAATAAGTACGTTAATCCACTTAGGTAATAATCTAATCATCAATAACCACAACATTTAATTTATAAAATATGGTTTAAATAGATGGTAGCAGCTGTCAAAAATGACATAAGAGGGTTGGCCTTCAATTGACTAACTCCATATAAGAAATTGAAGGCTTGGTTGGAGAGAGTCTTGCTACTATTTTTTTATTGTTGTATGTCTATGTGGCAGTTTTGATATCCCATTTGGAGATACTCTAAGCCCATGCACTTTGTGTGTGAGAGTTGTGGGTCGTATGCTATGATGACATGAGAGTGACAAAAGAAAAAAGCAAAAATTTGGTTTGTTTAAAATTATGTAACTGCATATAATTTTAATTTCCGATATAAGATCAGATTGTCTTTTCATCATCTTTTGGTTGATAAAGAGTGTTTTGTCTCTCCCTCCAGTCCCCTTCGGTCTCACTTTCCCTTTTTTCTTTCTCGCTCTAGAAAGAAGTCAATACAAGTTGTTGTTGCGACTTAATCTTGACCGTTCAAATACGAAGGCAGTGGCGGGGGGGGGGGGGGATAACTTAGAGCATCTCCAATGGGAGTCCATATTAAGAATTTTAAGGGACTCCCACTATCAACTTTGATGAATTTAAGGCTACATCTAGCCCAAAAAGCAGGGGGACCTACATCAAATTGATGCCCCAGTCTTTTTTTTTAATTAAAAATGGGTGAGCCCCATTTCTAATTCCAAAACATGATTTTAAAGGTTTATTTTTCAATTGTTTGTTTGATTACAATAAACAAACAACAACTATTTTTTGTGTGTAATTGATTAAGAAAAATGTTGTGCTTTGTGTTTAAGTCTTAGATTGAAAAGTTCATAAAAAAGGTGATGAAATTTAACATTGCTAGTTTTAGAGGCCAAAACTGAAAAATATAAACAAACAACATACCTTAATTGTAAGGGCATTACAATTTTGTTATTTGAAAGCATAAACAAGCAAATGAACCTAAACTGGAAACTCATTACAATTTAAATGCTACAAACACAAGACTTAGCCTCTCTGTGCATAAGATTAAGGTAAGCGAATCTAATCCAATAGTGCATAAAATGATGAAATCTAACTTTACCAGAATTCGAATTTTTTTTAGGTTGAAAATTTCATAAATTTTTTTTATGATAACACGTCTAAAAATCAACTTAAGAAAAGTTAAGACAAAAATCAATTTACTGTGTAATTAAATTGCTTCCCACTCAAAATCAACAGTGGGCCCACTCTTTGAGTCTCTATATACAGTCCACACATTTAAGGTTTTCTTTGAGTTATCCGGTGAGTACCTATATATTGAGATACTTTGAGGACTTCTATTCAGACTTATGAGAAGTTTTTTGTCCCTATATTTACAAGGGTGGAGCCATAATTTTTTTCTTATATAATAATCAATATAAAAGAGCAAACATAGAATACAAACAATTCTTGAAATCATAGCCCTAACCGACAACTTCAAGGACTATATAAATAATTGGCCTACTAAATGAATCAAGAATAAGTAAATAAAGTGATTAGAACGTACCAAATGTTATATTCATTGGAAAATCACAACGAAAAGCAAGGATTGTGGAGATAGGGATTTAATTGTGAACTAAAAGAAAATTCTTTTTCTTATCTTGAGTAAGAAGCTAAATGATAAATGGTTTTTTTCTTTAATGAATAGGATAGAAGGGAGGCGGGGAGATAAAACTAGTTTATTATTTTTAGCATAAAAAAGTATTATTTATTATCAATCCTCTACTAACTATACATGAAATAATAACTTGTATTAGAATTGAGTGGGCTATATAGGCTACATGCATTAACATCAGCTGTTAAAGTAGTTTAAAAAAGGATAAAAAAAGGATAGTGTTATTCACACATTCTTATTAATTATTTGTCATTGATTTTCATCAATACATTCGACTCGAAGGCCAAAAAACCTCCTTGGGCTACAGCCCATCTTAGCCTTATGAGTGGCTCTGCCTATGTATATTTAGAAACTATACGGTTGTATGAACTCTATTTATTGTTGCCATACTCCTTTGTTAATGGGTGGTATAAATATATAATATATATTTATGTTAAAAAAAAGGTGCTCAATGTGCAGCAATTGGAAATTGGAAAAGAGAGAAAAATGGCGGCAACCAGTGACGAAGAAATGGATTCTCTGCTTTCCACTTTGGATCAAATCTACCAGGTACAAATCTTCCTCCTCCTCCTCCTCACTGTGCCACTTTCCTAATTCCGTTTGGCGTCCTCAAAATTCTCAGGACTTCAAGACCGGCGCAGCCGAGATCGAGTCGAGCAAATCCGCGTGCAATGCCGAGGCGAAGAAGCGAGAGGCTCTCGAATTCACCTGCAACAATCTCAGACAAGGTCAATTCGCTTCGCTTCGATTCACTTCTTCGAAACAATCAAATGCAGCTTTTTCGATTTCAGCGGTTAAGATGACTGAATCGGAAAGCGGTGATTTGATTTGTTGTTGCAGAAAACGAACGATTGAGCAGATTGTACACGGAGTCGTTCAGCAGTGTTGCTGATCAGCTCGAGCGGCGTACAAGAAGCCAGAGCTTGAAGGAAGAGGTGAAGAAAATGAGGGATGAGTGGATGAGTAAAGAAGAAGAGCACAGGAAAGCTATTGAGTTGGTTAAGCAAGATTATGCTGCCAAGCTTGATTTGGCGGCTCAAATTAGGTCAGTTTTAATATCAAATTTAACCCCTTAACTAAATTTGATTTGCAATTTTAGTCCATATTAAATACTTAAATCTCTTACAGAGTAAGATTTGCAAATTTAGTCCAAATTTAATGCTTTAATCTCTTCTGAGGAGTAATTTGATTGAACTTATTGAAGTGAAGTTGCAATAAATAGAGAAGTTGTAAAAAAAAATTGCAACTTTTTAAGTTCACCCCCAAAATATAGTTCTTGGATATTTGTTATTCATGTATCTAGCGTCGCTAGATTGTCAATCAAAATCAACATTAGTGATGAGAAGTATACATAAATGAATCAACAGTACTGAAAAGAAAATCATGTTGATAAGAGTTTTGATGAAGTTACAGAAGATCAAAGGATGACTGGAAATAGAGAGAAATATGATGTCTATGTCCCTGAAAATATTTTATCAGCTAGTCGTGGTGAAGAATTGGAAATTCTAATTTGCTTCCGTTCTAAGAATAGATGTAGAAATGCAGCATTTTGTAATGGGAGTTCGGAAATCATGTCTAAATATATTGTTGTGATCAACATGTATAAGAGTAGGGTTGTTAGCAGGTTTGTTTCATTTAAATCAGACCGTCAATTTGAATTGTTGATCAGAGATGAGATATGTTTAAATATAAGGGTTTGATTGACAGCTTCACGAACTTACCACGTATGATGTCTGTCAAGAGAAATTTACTCTACGTACAAGCTAAGCTGTTTGCGTTGTATCAGAGGGTTTATGCTTGAGAAGGCAAAACATGAAGCAACCATTAATCACCTTCAACGGGATTTAGCAGCCCATAAGTCCCATATGCATGTTCTAGCAAGCAGGTTGGACCACTTGCAGTTGGATGTGGAATCGAAATGTGAGGTCTTAAATAACTCTTTTTGCTTTTATCTCTGTTAGAAGTATAGTTTAGAGCATGCTTAAGTTGACGTCATCGTTCCTTGACAGATATTCTTGAGATTCAGGATTTGAAGGACTGCCTCGCAATTGAACAGGAGGAGAAAAATGAGTTGAATAAAAAAGTCCAAGACTTGGAAAAGGAATGTGAGTGCGAGATTGCTTTCGGTTTCTCTTGTGTTCAAATTGTTTTATATGTGACTTGATCGGGCTTGCTTTGGCCTTCCTAAACAATTACATGCTAATGACTTGTTCGTACCTTGGTGTTGGTGCACACAGTGGTAGTTAGCAGATCAAAGCTAGTTGAACAGAAACAAGACTCAAACTCAACTTGGCAGGTCGAAATGCTGAAGACTAAGATTATGAAGCTGAGAAAGGAGAATGAGATCTTAAAGCGCAAGATACTTCCTTCAGACAAGGGCTAGATGCAGATGGGGTGGCTGCATAAGGTGTTTGATGAACTCAGATAGTTCATTCCGTCCCAGAACTTGACTGAAAGGATGTCATATATGCATTTTGTATTAGTTCAACAGGAGGGCCTCTGTAGATTAGTGGACAAAGTGGTTGTGCAAATTCGTAGTATGGAGTTTGGACTGGTGTATCAGAGTAAAGTTTCTTTCTTTTTTTGGTGTGGAATGTTGGAGTAAAGTAACACAGCATTTTTCAGATTCCTTGACTCTTCTATTGCTTATTAAGTAGTGGATAAGTTCATTAGTTAGGGCTCTTTTGGAGGTTCTACTCTATAAAGCACTTTCACTCACTAGTGTTTTGTCAGTAGCACTTGTTCGTAGCACTTCTATGAAAATGCAGATTGCACAAAAGTGCTTTTGATACTGAAGTATAGTGTTTGGATCCCAAATGAAAAAAAGCATTTCTTTAGTTGATATGCACTGTTTGTTTGAAAACATGAAAAAGGTTGATGTAAATCTTTAAAGGTTTCTGATTTGGATTTCAAAATTTTTATAACTCGACTGTGTTTGAACACCAACCTCCAGAAGAAAAGCAACACATCAAATGAAGAAACAAAAGCAACTGAACCTTTATTCAGTTGCCTCCCACTGCATCCCCACTCTTCATGCAAATAATGAGAACTTGCTCCTTGTTTCAACTGTGAACTGAGAATAGGCTTAGAGATCACCAGTTGTTCAGTTTTTTCTTTTTCTTCTCCAAGAAAAAGTTTGTTTGTGGTTGGTGTTAAGCATTTCGGTTTACAAGAGGATGAAGCAACAACCGAACTACCGCTGCTATTGATGTGGTTCCAAAATGAGTAACCAAGTTGTTTAACTGGGACTCTCTCTACTATTTTGCATATATGTATAGGTTTACTTACTTGAATACATTAATATTGTACTGAAGTATTTTAACCAAATTTTCTTAGGTGAGTACAGCCGAGAAAGGCGATATGATGCAGAGCTTCTTCCTTGCAGAAACGCTCTCGTATCTCTATCTCCTATTCTCATCTCCATAATTCATCTCTTGGATGAATGTGTATTCAACGCAGGAGTGCACCCTCTAAGGAATGTGACTCGACATGCTAGCGGAGAGAGTAATAGTACAACTGAACAGGACAGATTACCTGAAACATTTCATGGTAGGAAAGGACGGCCAGGATTCTCCTACACTTAATAAACTGCAAGTCCTTAAGGGTCCCCATGTATAAGATCCCGGGCCATATTCAACTGTGCTTTGGCATCTAACAGCCTTAGCAACTTGAACTAGATACTAAAGGCAGTGGAGCAAGTTAATTGTGAGGCGACGGTGAAATGACTGTGCTGGAAACAGATGGGGGTTGTCTTTTGGTTGCTTCTTGGTATATAACAATAGGCTGTAGAAATATTAGAATAGGTAAAAATCCACTGTAGTTTCCTCTGCTGATGATGTGCTTATGGCCAATTATACATGATGTTATTTCAGCCTTGAATTCTCTTTCCAATATAAACCCTAAATCCCTATATTTAAACGATCTCGGTTTGGTCGGAGAAAAGTTAAGTAGACCATCCTATTGATGAGTCGATTTTATACTATATATTTTTCTCTATTCTTGGTATATGTTGGTGACTATTTTGGTGAGATTTTGATGCTTTGATATGTGTTTTCAATGTAGGACATGCGAATCCGTTTTGCGCATAAAATAAGCAAACGGTGGAATTTTTTAGTGATTCCAATTGGAACGGATTTGTGAGTCTGTCAAGAAGGTTGTATCAAAATTTCATGATTTTATCTTGAAGCATCTGATCGTGGTGAATTTATTTATTTCCAGCGCACAGTGTTGGCAGATTGGGCTGCAGAGCTTATTTATGACTTTTGGGCTGGAAGATGATTGCACTTGGGTTCTTCTTGGAACTTGAAGAAGAGGTCCTAATCTTTAATTCAAGTCATTTTGGGTAGACCCGGCAGTTTCTGACACGACATGGTGACATGACACGAAAACGACATGAAAATAACGGATTTCGGATCAACACGATAACTTAACGGGTTATTAACGGGTATACACGCAGGTAACACGTGGATAACCCGTTTCGACCCGTTAAGAAAAAAATTATTTTGATAATTTTAAAGTTTAATTACTAAAAGATTTATTATAAAATACGATAGCCATATTAATATATACAATATATTCTATATTAAATAAATAGTTTTGTATTATTATTCTATATAAGTTTAAAAAAAAAAGTTTTAGTCATTATTTATTTTTATTATGAGAGTTCCTTATTATCGTTACTAGGATAAATTTTACTTAACATGTTGTCCAAAATTAAAATAAACTAATATAGTATTTGTATAGGCAAGAACTAAGAAGACATACATACAAGTATGAAAAATGTGAAAGAATATATAAACTCTCATGATTCATCATTATTCCTCCATAAGTAGTAATGGTTACACTTATATTATCGTTTAGATTTTTAAAATCCTCCAAACCTTCATGAATAATGTTTTTTATTTGAGGGCAAAATTAATAAAATTAATAATAATTATTGTAGAATTGTAAAAAATGTAAAAAAAAAAAAAATATACAATCACTGTGACGACCCGTCCCTTTTTTATTAATTTTAAAAGCGTGAATTTACGAAAATACCCTAGAGGCAAGGACTTTGACTTCTGTTGACCATCGCCTAAATAAATGTATGACTTACTCTTTTAGAGTACCCTCGTAGTGCTCGTCGCTACGAACGCGTGTTAGATTCGAATCAGATCTGTAATGAAAAAGTTACTCTCTGTTAAGGTACGTTAACTACAGATATTTTGTACACGCGCATACAAATATACAGTGTCGAAAACACTGTCAAAGAGGCAAATTTTGTACATTATTGTACAAAATCCTTCCCTTCCTTAATTGGTGGATTTGGTTCCCTTCACCATTCAAATATTTCAATTTTATTTCCCACAAATCCCTCTCATCCATTCACCACCCTCAAAACCCACACCCAATCAGAAGCAACCCTCACTTCTGTCCCAATCAGAAAAAGGCTCACTTTCTCTCTTCCTTATTTCTCTCTCCCTCTCGAAACTCTCTTTTCTTTGCAACAAGGAAGACCAACCCCAAATCTTCACTGTTCGAGCTTAAAAACCTTACCATTATGTTCACCTTACCTCCACGAACACAACCATACCAACCAAACTAAGAATGGACGATTTTTGACTCGCCAACTCGGAAGGTTCGAAATCGGACGAGTTGAGTTTGACGTGTTTTCAACCGAGTCACGATGTTTTAGGACTCGGGAAAGCCTCTACGCAAATCCCTAGGGTCCCTAGTCAAGGTTTGAGGAAGCTTTGACGTGAAACAACTCGGTTTTGAGAAGTTCAAGTTTGACCCATACGTTTCGAGCCAATTTCTAGCCAAACCACGGTGAGTTGGCCGGCGTGCAAGGTATCAATATCTTCGTCTCGCTAAGTACCATAACTTTCCTTTTTGTTTCATCCAATTTTGTTGAGTACTAAAAAAGTTATACTCATTTGAATCTTACCCAATTTCCGGCGAGTCCGACGGCTTTCGAGGCATTTTCCGGTCAAAATAAGGTGAGTTAGACGTATTGCAAGGTACCATTCTCTTCGTCTCTTCGAGAACTACAACTTTTTTTTTTTCACTCGATTTCGTTGAGTAACAAGGAAGTTGTGAACGTTTAAAGGTTGTGTAGTTTTCCGGCCGAATTATGGCCTTCCTCTTCCTTTGGGTCCGGTGACCCATATGTTGGACTCGGGCCAGGCTTTTAAGCCTTACCCTTTCAAACCCAGGCCCTTGGGGCCAAGTAGAAGAATGCCTTTGGCCCGTGACTCCAAACCCAAACCTATAACCTTTTTAATTCTTTTATTTTTATTTTATTTGTTAAATTAAGGGCCTTGTTGTGAAGGTGTAAACCCCAAACCCAATCCCTAAAGCCCTAAACCCTTTTAGTTTAGGCCTTTAGGCCTAGAACCCTTAAGTCCAACCTATTAATCTAACCCAACCTAATAACCCTTAACCCAGATGAAATATTCCGTTATGGAATATTCCATCTGTCAGGGAATATTCTATCCTTTAGGGAATATTCATCCTATTGACTTTTTGGAAATTTAAGCGAGACCCTTCTTAGGGTAATTCGACGTCCTGAATCCGTTTTTGACGTCCGTTTTCCCAAATTCAATTTTTATAATATAGTTTTATTAAAAGTGTACCTTTATGTGCTTAGGGGCAATTATTAGTGGCGTTTCCATCTTTGCTAGGTTGCGTGGCTCATCAGTGGCGAAGTATCTATGAGTGGGTAGTTTATTTTATACCTATACATATTGATAGTTTCCCTAAATGCGTAGTCACTTCACTTTTACGCTTATATTGCCAAGTATTCGATATTGTGATATGAATTGTGATAAATGCTGCTATATGGTTGGGATATTATTGTCATGACATTCATACATATTTGTACATGCTCATCTTATTGCACCCCGGTGTTAGTACTTCACCCAGGGCTAGGGCCAGTCCTTCACGTGTATGTTCACATCCGCACCATTCGCTCGCCTTGGATCTAGGTTAGGTGCCATTCCTGTTGGGTAGATTGCATTAGGCAATCCGACTCATATGTGACCGTGCTTCTGCACCAGTCTTTGCGTGATTGTAGTACTAGAGCACATTGATTACACCCAGTTTTGTCGGGTAGAATTGCCTTAGGCAGTTCCGACTCGTGTGCTAACTTAGATGATGAGCAAACTACTTATAATTGATTATCACATGATTATATTACTTTGGCATTTGATATATCATGACTTGGAATATTTCTGGTTATATTGCTGTTATATTTGATTACATACTTACGTAGTATGTTTTGAGGAAACTATACTTGTTTTATGGTGAGGGGTTAGTATATTCAAAAATAAAGGTTTTCGTATAAGTATTGTTTTGCTGACACACTCAACTTTGTTTTTCGCCCCTCCATGTTTAGTAGCTGTGTTTACGCGTATACAAGGATTTTGGCAAATCTCAGGAGATGGTTACCTTCAGTGGTACAACCCTCATCCTATTTACTATACTGTCTTATGCTCTGACATCACGTGTGAAAATGGTTCAATCCCGCTGACCCGCGCACTCCTTTGATTAGACACTTTTAGGTTTAATTTATTCACTTTTTCCACATCACTACACTTTATGGCTTCGTTAACTTCCAGGTGTTGGCTAGCACAACTCGATTCGGAGTCCAAGTAGACATTCCGGGTTGGGGTGTGTCAATCACTCGTAGTGACAAACTTTACAACTTTCATGAAGGGTTCAGCTTCGAAATGCAACACTATAATTCATAAACCTTAAATTTATATTTAACGTCGATTGCCATTTACACTTTGTTCTTCTTATTGAATTTCA